CAGGAATAGCACTATAATTCAGAAGAGCAAATACAAAGCTAGCTGATATGACTGGAAATATGGCATATGCTGAAGCTTCTCAGCATTGAAATCCCAGTTCTCTATACTGTAATTTGTGCCTCATCCAAAGTTTGTTTGAGATTTGACTGTCATTCCCAATGAGACCTTCCTAGGCAACTAAGGAAACCACAACAAACATGCCGCCTGAAGTACCTAAGGCTTCACATCAAACAGTTGCTTTCCTATTTATTACATCACATTAAAATAGAGCAAAAATTTCAGCCACAATGGGACATTCCTGCGTGTAACTATCCCTTTGGCTTTATTCACTAATTGTGTTATATAAATTGTGTGAACAGAGAAATTAATATTTACAAGAATTATACACAGCACCAAAAATGTACATATGATAATACATTATATATAAAATTAGTGAGAAACTTGACAATTACATCAGACTAGCAAAAATAATGTGATGTATTTCTTTTTTTACGTTTTACATTAACACATTTCATTAACCAGAGTCTATCTGACTAGATAGTAAACAGGAAACAAGCAAAAAGAGACAGATTGAGAGATCAGAGATTTTAATTTTCTTCAGTAAGGCATATGATCTCACAGATCATGGAAATATTTATTTTGTCATTTAGTTCATGTCTAAAAGCTGTATTTTATCCTTTGCAAAAAAATAAAGAAACTCTTAGTTCCACTGTTTAGGAGGCCCCATTATGGTCTTCATCTAACAGAGCAGAAAGTGAAACAGTATTGAGTTTAGATGTGAAGGCCATAATGAGAAAGCATTTTTCTAAAAACTATTGGTAGGGATTTGCAAAGCTACCTGAGAGGTTGAAGTACCAAATACCAACTCATTTGAGAAGGACTTGGATAACTATATCTCTCTCAAACGTTTCACAATTTGTCTTTTTCTGATATCCCCAGCTTTTCCTGAAGCTCAGTCTACATTGTGCAAAGATGACGATACTAACCCTGCAGGAAACGGAGCTGTACCCAGGCCCAATGAACTGGCAAAAAGGATGCTTCAGGAACATCCATGCTCATAAATTACTGCAGGTAAGGCTCAAGTGCTTTAATCTACACTGCTGGTCTTGCTTGTCTGAAATCCCAGAGCCAGTGTAACAGCAACCAGCTAAGTATGAGCCATATTTTTTTTTTCCCATTACATAGAGAACTCTTAACATTTCAGAAATTCTTATCAAAGAATTCAGTCCAATAAGATAAACAACTTACAGCTGCTTTAAAATTTTGTGCAGCTCCATTACCGCCCACAATGTCAAATGCCTTGGATAATATCCAATCAGTGATTTTAATGGTTTGAAATGCCTTATGACAGCAAAACATAGGCCTGTATATTCTTTATGGTAAAAAATATTATGGTATGTTAGGAGAGTGAGGTTTGTTTCCAAATAGCAATGTAAGTGTACATCTCTGTCAGTATTCAAGAAAAGAAATTAATATATGGAATGTTAGTGACTTGGGCAAATTAATTTTTCAGCTATTCAGCAATAAATCAAATTGAGCAAAGCATCTTTAAGCAACAGTTTATCTTTGTCTGTTGTGTCAGACTACAGCTGTTTTAAAACAGCATTAAAGCAAGAGGTTCTTGCATAACATACAGGGCTTAAAGGAAATCTCGCCATGTAAATTCAAAAAAGGATAAGAGTTTAAGATGGGAAAAATAAAAGTGCATACTCTCATCACCAGACAGTTCAGGTCTGTGACCAGCAACATACTCTATGCATTTATAATGTATCCAGCAACTGGCTTTCTGCCTCTTAAATTTAAAAATGAACTCATGCCTACATAGATATCATTCAAGATTATTTTCTGGATATTAATTCTATTTTCCCTTTAACTGGTTTGTTTATATTGTTGTTACATTAGTTGTACTTCTTATTATTCTACTCTAAATTATGATTCTAAACAAAGTATAATCAGATGAAAACATTAAGTGTTTAACAAAACTTTTAAGCTAAGTGATATTTTTAAATTTCAAATCAAATCTTTAGGCACTTTTAAAATCTTATATGCTTTAGGAAATAAAATTATATGAGCACAAGCTGTAAAAGTAAACTACATTTTAAAAACAGAAGCTATAATGGTTACGGAATCCTATTCATTCTCCAAGAGTCTAGAACAGATTTTTCTTGTTCCTTCTTACATGTTTTTATTAAACACTTAATATTTTCTAAAAGTTTTGTAGTTCTGTATTCCATATTCTTACTCCAGCTCCAAATCATGAAGCTCAGAAAACATCATAAAGTAAGAATTCTATAGAAATGCAGTGATGTTCCTCTTCCTACTTCTTTTTCCACTCTTTTGGAGAGCTGTCTTCATCCCTGCTTCCCCTGCTTGCAGTTCCATAAGTCTCTGCCCTTGACTCTGCCTCTTTGTTTCTCTTTTCTATCATATCATTACCTAACACCACCCACAATACCAACAAAAATGTTTCTCTAGGCTGATGTCCTGTATATCTTGCTTTCTATTTCCCTCTTAGCTCCTTTATCCAATGGAAATGTCAGCCTGCCTAACTGACATGCTAGAGGATGTATAGCCACCAACTGACAGTGCTTTCACTGATAGAGTGCTTTATCTTACTTCCCCGTCACCTCCTCTTTCAAACTCCTCTTTTACACTCATAACGTGGTTATCTTCTTTGCCTGCTTCAACCCAGTCACTTACTCTATGCTTAAATCATACAGGCGTCTTGCCTTCCCACTAATCAGGATAATCTGTGAAAAAAATGTCTAAATCATGTTAGAAAAAATTGCACCTTTAAAAGCTTTAAGAGGCAGCAAAACCAATTCCATATCAAACTAGCATTTTATGGATAGACAGTACCAAAAAAGTGAGGGATGCAGTACTGTCCTACATTCTAAGCTCAATGAGCAAAACCAGGATTATACTATTCATTACCAGGAAATATACCAACTGCCACATTAAAAGGCTTCAGAAAGGGAATTACAGCTGAGCCTCTACAGTTGCAGAAGCACATATCAGGAGTGCAGTGTCTTAGCAGCATATATCAGGGCTACATCTCCGCTAATTGTCTAACTTAAAGAAGAATTTTCATACCATGTCCACACATGGCCTGTATTGAAATGTTATAATCATAATAATGCTGAGTGTTTCAAACTTTCTTACAACTTGAAAGTACCTCTTCCCTGTAATAGCCTGATCCACAGCTCATTTAAACCACTCAAACCTTCTCTACTGATTCTGGCATGCTTAGGATCATTGTCTGAACAGCACAAAGCAGAAAGAAACAACAGTGTGTTTTGACATAATGATTTACGTTAGAAAAAAGAAATCAAAATAGATTTCAGATTATATCATTATTACACTATAATATTATATTATTTGCTATAATATTACATTCTTAAATACAATTTATTGTATTGTTATACTACATTATTAAACATTACTTTCTATTATCTTCTTATATATTATTTTATAGTGTAACAGAACTTTCATTGGAATTTGGAGTGATGTAAGTCTCTCTTGGACAAACAAGTTTCAAATATTAAAAAAATCTGAATTCCACAGCTATTTTTACAGGACCTGTATAGTATTTTATATAAGTTTGTATTTTTATCCTACAGGTTGAGTACTAATTTGGGATTCACCAATCTTTTCCCCATGTTAAAGGAGTCAAAAGGCACTCTTTCAAAAGAATGTTCTAAAGAACAGAAGGATTGGAAACTTTTTAAGAAAACAGTGAAACATAAATTACAATGAATTTACTACATTTAAATTTTCTTCTGCTGTTGATAGGCTGCCAGGTAACCAGTTACTTTAGTTCTGGAGAAGCAAACAACTGCAAGAATAAATTGCAATATGGAGATGTTCCAAATCATACACTCCCTGACAAGTGGGCTGCAAACAATCAAGAGAAATTTCTTCCATAGAAATGTTTTCACCATTCAGAGAGCATGTGGGATGCTAAAAGGAATTTACATTGTGTTATTCTCCACCACACACAGAGAAGTCATATCACTTTTTTCATAACCCTTTTATTTATGTGAAGTTTTGTATACAGAAAACAGATAGAAAGTGCAAGCTTGGTAAAAAAATCACAGTAATGATAGCAAGGACATATTTGTAACATGGTCTATTTTGTGGCTTTTTCTTA